CATTCAGGCATTGTCAGTCTGGATGCAATTTGCCAGTCAGGGGTCATTTTTACCATAAGCAACGTTGCCTAGCAATATAATTCATGCTTACCATCTACCTGGTTTCCAGGGTAACAGAGCTTGGTGGTTAAACCAAAGGTTAGATTCTTAAGCAGCAAGGGAAAAGGTTTGTTAACCCTTTTATCCCAGTATGCAACAGAGCCAAGCAGGGGCCTCATGTGTATCAAAATGTGATTGTTCATTCCTTTAACAAGTATTTAAGAACTTATACTGTGAGTCACGCGCTGTGCCAGACACTAGGAATATAGTTAAACAGATACGGTGCTTACCTTTATATTGTTAACTCCATTCATGATACCCTTAATTCTTTTTATAGTTTTAAGAACTCTTACCTGGGGCACCTGGATGACTCAGGGGTTGAGCGTCTGCTTTTGGCTCAGGTTGTAATCCCTGGGTCCTGGAATCGAGTGCTGCATCAGTCTCCCTGAGGGGAGCCTGCTTCTCCTTCTGCATGTGTCTCTGTTTCTCTCATGAATAAATAATAAAATCTTAAAAAAAAAGAAAAGGAACTATTCATCCTTCAGAGATCAGCTCAAGTATCACTTCTCTAAAATTCATATACCTTCTACTCCCCTCATACTTTGTATTTATTGCCCTGAATTTGTGGGTTGGTTTTGTGAATCAAAGAATCCCCTAAAGTAATATGCAGATTTTATGTGCTTGTGGGAATGTATGTTTGAAGAAAGGTTGAAAGCTTTCATTAAATTTTCAGAAGGTTCTAAGCTGTCCCCTCTCCCAACCCCCTATGAATTTAGAACCATTACTTTGTTAGGAGTATTTATTACATTTATTTTATAAAGTTTTATTGTTTATAAGTCTCCTAGACCCTGAGTCCCTTGAGAGAAAGAACTATGTGTATTAATATTTTGTGTCAACAGAATGCCTGGTTCATAGAAGACTTTTAGAAAATGAATGTTGAAAGAGTCACTTAATATCCTAAACAGATTCAGCAGTTGAAGGGATGCTGCTAGAGGGCATTTCCTAATCTGAAAGGGAAGTTCTTCCTTATGTCAAACTAAAATGAGCCTTTCTTCTTCCTAGCTTTGTCCTCTGGATTTATAAATTACATGTCTTCTTTCTTCCATATTGTAATTGCCCTTTTTTTTTATAAGATTGGCCCATTTTAATATATTTTAATTTACTAATTGTATAATGATATAAGAATAGTAAGAAAGATCTAGAAGAATGACCATTAAATAGTAATAGAGTGAATCACATTATATTTACAAATCCCCCTCTCCTGTCCCTGATCAAACCCTGATCAAATAGCCAAATGATCCATGAGTCCACTTGCTAGTAGGGTTCCAGATAGAATGTTTGAGGGTTCTATGGGGATTGTTGTTGCTGGTGGATCCAGAATTACTGGGCAGAGTTCTGTGGTGGATCAGTGCAGTAGAGCATCTGTCAGCTTTTGTGGATTTTGGCCTTGGGCTGGTACTTGAGAAGCTGCTAAGATAGTAATGGAGCTGCTGCCCAAAGACCTGCTTCCACAGTTCTCTCACCAGAGACTCCAGTAGGAGAAGGTGCTATGTTTACCTGTCATTTTCTTATTGGTGGTTTTTTTTTTTTTTAAGTTTTTATCTAGTTAGCATACAGAGTAATATTAGTTTCAGATATGCAATTTAGTGGTTTAGCACTTCCATACAACACTCGGTGCTCATCACAAGTATAGTCCTTAATCCCCATCCCCTATTTAACCCAGCCCTCTACCCACCATCCTTCTGGTAACCATCAGTTTGTTCTTTGTAGTTAAGAGTCTTTTTATGAGACTCATTGTTGAGGATATCAAAGAAAAAAGATTAACATGGAGGAAATCGTTAAAAAATGATACATTTGCATCTTAAATATTTTAATTTAAAGCATACAAATGTCCATTAACTTACGAATATTTTATCATGGAACCGATAAAATAAATTTCCATTTTATCATGGAAATGTATATATATATATACATTTTTTAAGGATTTTATTTACTTATTCATGGGAGACACAGAGAGAGAGAGAGAGAGAGAGGCCGAGAGACAGGTAGAGGAAGAAGCAGGCTCCTTGCAAGGAGCCGGACATGGGACTCGATCCTGGGACTCCAGGATCACACCCTGGGCTGAAGGCGGCGCTAAACCGCTAAGCCACCCAGGGATCCTGGAACTGATCTATTTTTTTAATATTTTATTTATTTATTCGTGATAGAGAGAGGCAGAGACATAGGCAGAGAGAGAAGCAGGGAGCCCAATGTGGAACTTGATCAGACACTCAACTGTTGAGACACCCAGGCGTCCCATGGAACCGATACCTCTTTGTTAAATTTGGCTATACTGTTGTGTAGCTTTTTTTACTAGTAGGTATTCCATCCAAAATTCATCATCTACAATTTCTAGTTTGTGTTTTCTTAAATGGAAGGAGAAGTTAGACATCTGAAAGCAATGGAGCTGTAGAATTTTTCTAGATTTTTATTCTTCTTCCTTTTTTCCAGTGTTCTATATATAGCTGTATCTCCTACAGCTTATCAATTATTTTTTTTGGGGGGGGGCAACTGGCTTTCATTTAAAGTCTTTAGTTTTCAGAGGAATAGCAATTCATATTTCCTTAGTTTACATGCTTTTTAAATTATGTAACTAAAATAATGTATAAGTGGCATAATCAGGTCTGTGATCAAATATAGTTGACTCTAGTGAGCATATGTTTTTGCTGAGAGGAATGGAGGTACTCAGGCTGCTCTAAGCAATCACACTGCTCATGGGCATTAAGAAGACCATGAACGTGGTTCTATTCTGTTTTTCTCAGGATTAATTATTTTGAAGCTTCTTATCATCCTGCCCATATTTCTTCTCCTCTTAGACTACAGATCTCCCTAATTTAGAATATAGGTAAAATCATGTTTAGCTTTTCTTCTGATAAAGTTTTATGTATCTGTTGTCCAGAAAAAAATGAAACCATTAAAAAAAAAAAACTAGTAGCAAGTAGAAGTGCCTACTTAATTTTAAGGCCATTTTAAGCATAAAAAATAATAGTAGAGTGGAACTCAATTTCTCTCCCCTCCAGCGTGGTCTGGGCTTAGTGACTCACTTCAAGGAATTGAGTATGCAAAGGGAAGACTATAGCTTATTAGTGGAGAAACCTAGTAGATACCATGCTGGCCAATTGTTCAAGTTTAACAGTACCAGTGATAAGTCATATTGATTGAGTGAGTGTACCCTCTGATAGGATGTGCTGAGAAGGCCACTTCACTTCTGTGGGGGTTTTTTTGTTAGTTTGTTTCCCAAACCCGTAACCCCAGTCTAATCTTGAGGAAACATCAGAGAAACTTAAATTGAGGGATATTCTGTAAAACACCAGACCAGTGCTCTTCAAAAATTTCAACGTCCTAAAAAATAAGGACAGACTAAGAAAATGTAATGGACTAAATTAAGGAGACTAGGGAAACATGATGACTAACTGCAGTGTGTTATCATGAATTGGATCCTAGATCAAAGGAAAAAAGGACATTAATGGAAAAACTAGGGAAATCCAGATAAAGTCTGTAGTTTTGACAAATCTCCCATGGTTATATAAAATGTTAACCTTAGAGAAAGCTGGGTGGAGCGTGTATAAGGACTCTCTGTACTGTTTTTGTAACTTTTCTGTAAATTTACAATTATTCCGAAATAAAAAGTTTATTTAAAAATAGTTAATGGGGGGATCCCTGGGTGGCTCAGTGGTTTAGCGCCTGCCTTTGGCCCAGGGCACAATCCTGGAGACCCGGGATCGAATCCCACGTCGGGCTCCCGGTGCATGGAGCCTGCTTTTCCCTCAGCCTATGTCTCTGCCTCTCTCTCTCTCTGTGTGACTATCATAAATAAATTAAAAAAAAATAAAAATAGTTAATGGGAGAAATCACTGAAGACAGAGTTAGGTGATTTGGAATTTAAGACAAACCAAATTAAAAGTCAATAACAAAACTATTTGTCACAGATGATGGCTAAAAGGCTAATATTCTTAGATAGAATATACTTTTAAAAATTACTAACAGCATACTAATAGGTCATTGGAAAATAGTCATTCATCACAACTCACAGAAGAAACTCGCTGGTCAATAAATATGAAAGCCAGTTCAATCTCACTAGTAATTAGAGTTGCCAATTAAAGCGGTATGGAGACCATTTTCACCCATTACATGGAAAAGTGATAGTATTCAATTCTGAAGCAGGCACATGGAAGAATTACAGATTGATATAGCCTTTCTGAAAAGCACTTTGTCAATATGTGTGGGGTTTTAAAATATGGATATCATTTGTGATCGTGATCTCACAGTTGCAAGATTTTTTTCCCAAGGAAATAATCAGATATGTATAGAAATGTTGTTTTTTTTTTTTTTATGATAGTCACAGAGAGAGAGAGAGAGGCAGAGACATAGGCAGAGGGAGAAGCAGGCTCCATGCACCGGAAGCCCGACACGGGATTCGATCCCGGGTCTCCAGGATCGCGCCCTGGGCCAAAGGCAGGCGCCAAACCGCTGCGCCACCCAGGGATCCCGTATAGAAATGTTTTAATAGGAATGTTCATGACAGGGTTGTTGATACTGGAAAACTCAAAACCTGAGGACCTACCGGAAAGGGAATGATCTCAAAGTTTTGGCATACCTATAGAACAGAATGGAATCATTAAGAATCAGAATATAACTAAAACAGTGAAAGCAAGGTACAGTTTGTGTATATCTTTTGATTCTGGACTGTGAACATGTGTATACCTATGTTGCTTGAAAGGATAATTTTTATTTTCTCTATACCTTTATACACTTTCAAACTGCCTATAATAAGTATATTTTACTTTTGTAATCTAGGCAGGAGGTTATCATTGCAGACAATGTGGTTAATGCGTTTCTTTCATCTTTCATGCTGATTTAATTAAGAAAATGCTACGTTTCCATTTTGTTCTTTAAAAAAATGTTTTTCCTCTCTCTACTAGGGAGCTCATCAGAGTGCTCCCATTGCCGAGTGAGAACTGGGGAGCTCTAGTTGAAGAATGGTGTTGTCATCCTGACCCCTTTGCTAATAAGCCACTTCATCCGCAAGAGAATGACTGTTTTATTGGAGACTCTTTCTTCTTGGTGAATTTAAGAAGTGATTTATGGCAGCCAAGACCTGAATTAGCCCCAGTGGAGACATGCTGTCCTTCTTCTGAGAACCATTTTAAATTGGTAAAATATCTTTTCAAAATAAATGCTGATTTAGAGGTTGGCTTAGAAACTGGATTCTCCAGTCTTAATTAAAGCATACTACACAGACTGTTCCAAGGACCAAAATCCATGATTTTGAACTGCCTCTATTCACCAGCTCTGCTCTCTTGATACAAGAAGAGCATATGGCCTTAGACCAAAACAGCTTACAGGGGCTGCAGGAAGAAGGGAAAGAGGAGTTTTTCATGCCCAGAATTGGGAATGTTGCCATTTTACAAATCAAAATGCCCTACTTTCTTGTTTTTAGGACAATAGTCGATAATCTATATAGTCTGATTTAAATTAAGGGGATCCCTAGGTGGCGCAGCGTTTTGGCGCGTGCCTTTGGCCCAGGGCGCGATCCTGGAGACCCGGGATCGAGTCCCGCGTCGGGCTCCCGGTGCATGGAGCCTGCTTCTCCCTCTGCCTATGTTAAATTAAAAGTGTTCTTTTGTTCCAAGGTACACGCCATACAGCGAGGCCTAGGTATTTCCTGTGTCTGCCCATAGTTAAAACTTCTGCTGATGTCATAAAAGCAGATGCCATCAAGGAAACAGAGGAAATGGAGGAGTCCAAACGTGGAAATGAAGCTTGTGCTACTGGGTCTGAATTGGTGGTTGACAATGTGAGGTCAGGAGCCTCCTGCTAGAGAAGTTGCTTTAGGGAGAAAGCAGTTTCCTTTCAGTACAGAGAATAAGTGGTTTGCCTTATTACTTTAAAAGAAAATCAATGGCATTGACTTGGCCCTTGTGAGAAATCATTCTGATGGCAAGTCAATACAGATGTGATTTAAAAAGTAAAGAAAATCATTGCCAGAGAATCTTCATTTTAACATCTAATTATTGGTGGGACAAAAGCATTGTACATTAAATTTCATTTAAGACTCATTTAATTTTTGTAATGAAAACTGAACCCACTTCAGGAAATGTGCAATAGTTGGGCAGCTCTCAGGTTGTAAGTTAGTTTATAGAACAGTTTTATATTTTGAGGGCAAGTTAAGGAAGTCATCAAAGATTGAAGTTATCAGAATTATTTGCCTTATCTCTCACCATAAACACCAATCCCTTTACCTAAATATGATTCATTTAAAATTATAGTACTTTATTCTTGAATGGTTTTCAAAAATAAATGGTAAGAAGTTAACAGAGGTCTATTATATGTTTAAAATGGATGTTAAAATCACACTTTAATTTAAATTTATATACTAATACTTGACTGTTAAGCTATAAATTTTTAAGATATTTGCAAGGTGTGAGTGGAAAAGGAGAAGAGAAAGATTAAGAGAAACCACAAGTTTCCCGTTTTATTTTTTTAAGAGATTTTTTTTTAATTTTTATTTATTTATGATAGTCACACAGAGAGAGAGAGAGACAGAGACATACAGAGACATAGACAGAGGGAGAAGCAGGCGCCATGCACCGGGAGCCCAATGTGGGATTCGATCCCGGGTCTCCAGGATCGCGCCCTGGGCCAAAGGCAGGCGCTAAACCGCTGCGCCACCCAGGGATCCCAAGTTTCCCGTTTTAGATAAACTCTGCATTCTATTTGGAAATATATTCTTCAATTTATGTCTTTATCAGTTATATGATGCCTATTTACAATAATTTCTTTTAATTGCAAACAACCATCCTGTGAATTAAAGGAAGACCCTTCATTTTCAGACATTACAGTGTTTAGTATCAAGGAGACTGTGAGAAACTCCTGTCATGACAAGCCACTGTTGACAGGATTGTTTCCAAGTTAGCCTAGATGGAAGTTCTCTTTAATTGCATATTGCAGCAGTTGAAAGAGTATGCCTGTGACCAAAATAGTAACATAAATTTAGAGGGACTGCTTAAACAGTGCTCTCAAGGCTCCTGTGGGAACAAGGCTGCTCTGTGCTATTGAAAACCTATTTCTCATATCACCAAGTCTAGCCATCTAGCAGTGTTTTGAAATGTCACATGGTGACACAGCATCCTAATAGTATCTCTTGGGAAACATTTTTTTGGCGAGACAATATCAAGGGTCCTTAGAAATTGAAACAACACAAAGGGAAATAAAAACGAGGACAGGAGGCTAATCCACATCTCTGAGCAGTGGTGCCGTCTCTCAGATATATTGATTTAATTAGTCCACAACAAGGTCTGTCTTTGATGTTTGTTCTGTAGAGTTCCCACACTGTTAGTCTGCTTTATCGCACGACTGCTTTATTGGCTTTATTATTTCCTTTAAGTAGTGGTCAAGAGAAATGCATTACAAAACAGAGTTTCTGTTTAAACAGAATTTAGAATGTTATAATATTTTAATTAGAGAAGACCTCATTTAAAAAATAGCATAATGAACAAAATCCAACACTTATTTCTTTCCTTTAAGATCCCTTTAGAACATGCAGTATTTGTGCCTGTTAATGTGGCAGGATATACCTTTTGTTTTCAGATGATACCTGCTGAAGTTTTCCTTATTTCTTGCAATTACGTGTTTCATGCTATTTTTTTGTGTCTACCAGCATCCTAAAATAGAATGATAAAGATGGCACCTCAACCTTTTATAAGATTCATAATATTATTGTAGACTTAGAAAATATGGTCACATTGTGACTTCATCCAATTTTTTAAGGAACAAACAAAATTGAACTTTGATTATATGACAGCTGGCAAGCATGACTAACAGCTTCACTTTTTTTTCTTTCCTGGTGTACTTGGCAATAATTTGTTGATTTTGGCTGTTTGTTTTGTTAAATCCTTAAGGCTTTTTTTTTTCTTTTTCTTAGAATCACGTGTTGAACTTTGTAAATATTCATGAATGTAAAAAGAAAAGAATTGTGAACCTCAGTATACCAAATCATCTTGATTCATAAAGTATGCTTCATCTGTCCCTTTAATTCCCTCCCCACCCCAACTCCCCACTTAAGTGCTTTAAAGCAAATTCCAAACATTCTGTCATTTCATCCCATATGGATTTTTCTTTTTTAAGTAGTCACAGTGTCATTTCACATTTGACAAAATGAACAATTATTACTTGATGATAAAAATATAGGCCATATACAGATTTTACCAGTTATGTTAAAGGTCCCTTCTAATGGGCTCTTTTTGACTCAAACCACACACCTTTGGTTGTTTGAGATAATTTGCTTTTTATTGGTCACATTTTAAAATCCTGATTACCAGTGTCTTGAAAAGGTAGACTTTTTTTTTAACCAACAAATACCACTTCTCCTGCTTCACTGAAAGACAAAGCGAAATGTGCTATAAGAGCAATTATAAATGAAATACATAGCAGAGTACCTAATGAAATTTTTCTACTCAAAGTTTTTCTTTGAGTAGAAAAATTTCTGAGTAGAAAAATTTATTCTTCTCAGGTATTGCTATTCCAATATATAGTTTTTAGGAAAGCCTTTAGTTTTCTGTAAGATTTAATGAGGATGGTTTGATTTAACTTGTACAAAATAGGTCCTTTAAAAAATATCTTTAATATCAATTTAGAGCCATACAGAAAGTTTTTATTGTAAGAAAGCATGAAACTGCCCAAATGTCAAACTTCACAGTTGAACATACACCTGCTTTCTGAGCTGTCTTCTTCCTGTATCCTTGCCTACACCTGAACAAATTCTCACCAGCCTTAGTTTCTCTGTAGCTTTGACTTTTTTTGACCCCTAAAGTAAGAAATACATATATTTTTGAAGATTTTATTTATTTATTTATTTGAGAGAGCGCACAAGCAGAGGAGCAGAGGGAGAGGGAGAAGCAGACTCCCCTCTGAGCAGGGAACCCATTGTGAGGCTCGATCTCAGGACCCTGAGATCATGACTTGAGCTGAAGGTAGATGCTTAGCCACCTGAGTGACACAGGCACCCCAGAAATTTATTTATATCAAAATCTGATGCACACACATGAACACATGTCAAGTAAAAGTTTTTTGAAGCAGTACTTACACTGTGTGTGAAGTACTGTGATATTTCTGTTCTAGTTCATCTTTTTACTTTATTTTTTTTTTTATTTTTAGAGACAGAGGAAGAGCTAGTGGCAGGGGAGGGGCAGAGGCCGAGGCCGAGGGAAAGAGAGAGAATCTTTTTTTTTTTTTTTTTTATGATAGTCACAGAGAGAGAGAGAGAGAGGCAGAGACACAGGCAGAGGGAGAAGCAGGCTCCATGCACCGGGAGCCTGATGTGGGACTCGATCCCGGGTCTCCAGGATCGCGCCCTGGGCCAAAGGCACGCGCCAAACCACTGCGCCACCCAGGGATCCCAAAGAGAGAGAATCTTAAGCAGGCCCCATGCCAGCACAGAGCCTGACAGGGAACTTGATCTCATGACCCTGAGATCATGACCTGAGCCAAAATCAAGAGTCAGATGCTTAACCCCCTGAGTCACCCAGATGCCCCTCTATTTCATCTTAAAAAGAAAAATATAGGCCATAACCTTCAATCAATTGAATTGATTTTATGAATTAGTTTGGAAAACACTTGGCATAGCACTTAAGAAGCACAAGTTTTAGCGTTGAAGGAATCTAGATTCAAATATCAACTCTACCAGTTACTAGTAGCACATCCATGGAACTCAATTTAAATATGCAGTCTTAGGAAATAGTTATTAATGCTAAAGAAAATGTAATTGTACATTTTCTTTGTACAAACAAATTGATCAAATTGTACAAACTTACCTTGATCATAAGATTCCTTATGTTATCCCACATCAGAAAGGCACTCTTTCCTTACTTAGACCACCACTCTATCCTGTAGTTTCCCAGGAGAGATGACCTCAGGTGTCCAGAGTTATAGAAATTCCTTCTCCCTCCCCACTCTTATGTGACTTCCCATGTTACAGCGTATCTGTGTGAGAGGAATGTTGTATGACTTTAACAAAGGTATTACTATGGATGTGAAAACATTTTTTTTTTGTAGATTCTTAATACATAGTGGCTGTCCAATAAAAGGCAAAAAATTGGTCCTTTTGTGGGAAGGTATGACATTCCAGCCCATTTCTTGAATGACATGTACCAAAAACATATTTTGTTTATGTAACATCCATTTAGTAGTTATGTTCCCAGTACAGTGCTTTATAACACTCCTTTTTAAATCCTAATAAACAACGCTATGAGTTAAACACTACTATTAACTCCCTTTTGCAGATGAGGAAATCAGATGAGGTTCATTAACTTGCTCAGGGTCATGTGTATAATAAATAACAGGGCTGGGATTTAAACTTAAGAATTCTGGCCCAGACTCTTACCATGCAATTGCTTATAACATAACCTCTTAGAAAAAACTGCAAATCAGTAAGATTTTTTAGATTGAGATAAAACTGGCAGATAACATTATATTACTTTTAGGTGTAATGATTTGATATTTGTATGTATTGCCAGATATGCACCATAATAAGTCTAGTTGGCATTCATCACCATACATAACTATAATTTTTTTCTTGTGATGAGGACTTTTCTTTTTATTTAAATTCAATTAACCAATATATAGTACATTATCAGTTTCAGATGTAATGTTCAAGAATTCATCAGTTGGGTATAACACCCAGTACATGATGAGAACTTTTAAGATCTACTCTTAGCAACCTTAATTATATAATACAACATTGTTAACTATAGTTGCCATGCTGTACATTACATCCCCATGACTTCCATATTCTATAACTGGAAGTTTGTACCTTTTGATCCCCTTCACCCATTTTTGCCACCCCTCCTCCCCCACCTCTGGTAACCACCTCTGTTCTCTGAATGTAAAAGAACATTTTTTTTGTTTGCGTAATGATTAGATGGGTGCTAGCTATTTAATCTCTATCCCAAATAATGAATTTGGATTGTTGAAGTTTAAGAATGCTTCAGGAATTTGTCTCAGAACACTTTCCAGTTTTTCCAGTTAGAATGTGTATCTTACATGGAAAAATAGAATTATATGAATGGGTTAAGTATTTTCTACTTCTGATAAGTAATTATGAATTATAGATTACTTTTACATAAGTTACACAGGACTATGAGTCAAAATAATGGCTCCAGTTTTTGATTCTCCTGTTTTCTAGACACATGAATTGGGACAAGTCACCTACTCTCTCTGCCTTTGTTGTTCACCATCTGCCTAGTCTAAATGGTAATGGGTGTTTGGAAGTGCTTTTTAGAAATGTAAGGTGCTTCTTGTTCAAATTATTTACAACAGTTAGATTATCAAGAAGTGGCTAGGTTTGAAAAAAATCAGTCTATTCATTATTCTGTCTTTAGATTTGGAAAAAAAGAAGATCTCTGTGCATGTGAATTATGCATACAAGCTAAATGTGTTCCCAGTATTTAGTAGAGGGCAAAATAAAATGTAAAGTTCAATGTATACTCTAGAGACTAAGTTAAAATTATATATTCCTTTTAAGAAAAGCTGAATGACATTTAAATGACATTTTTCTGTTCTACAGAAACCAAAGGCAAATACCAAAGTAATTTGTAAGCGTTGCAAGGTAATGTTGGGAGAGACCATGTCATCAGGTAAGAATTTCATAATAAAAAATCCAAAATGATTGCCTTCTTGTTAAAAAAGAGTAGAAGGAGGTTTTATAGGAAATCTATATGAGAGATAGATAATTAATGTATGTTGTAGAATTGATGATTTTTAAAATAGAAATCAGCTAACATATCCTACAATATGCCAAGAAGTTTGTGTATTTTGACCTTTATAAGTACATAGTATTGAGTTTTAAGCATTAAGAAGTTGGGTCCTTTTCAGTATTTCGTATCCTTTCTGTGGATATAAAGCAATAGTATAAAGTTTGTACTTGGCTCTGTCATAAAGAATATCAAGGTTTTTTTTGTTTTTTGTTTTTTTCCTCAGCACAACTCCTTAATCAGAAATGTTGGTTGCTAGAGGCAGTGGAGAAGATTTCTTGGCTGCCCTCTGCCTCAGGGCTGTATTTTAGGGCTGGGGGTTGAAACAGAAGAAAACATATTCTGAGTTTTGTTTTTTTTTTTTAATTTTTTTATTATTTATTTATGATAGTCACACAGAGAGAGAGAGAGAGGCAGAGACATAGGCAGAGGGAGAAGCAGGCTCCATGCACCGGGAGCCCGATGTGGGATTCGATCCCGGGTCTCCAGGATCGCGCCCTGGGCCAAAGGCAGGCGCTAAACTGCTGTGCCACCCAGGGATCCCTTTTCTGAGTTTTATACTCTGTTCCTTGTTCTTTTCCCAGTAGTGTTCATTATATTTAGGTAAAGTCTGTGTTATACCACTGTCAAATATAATAAAATCCTAATAATTGCATCATTATTTAAAGATGTGTTTTTAGAATGTTTAGAGAGCTACAACACGCTGCATTAGCTTTGTGGGTGATGAATAATTGTTTTTAATACAATTAATTAGAAGATGTGATTTAAGTGAAGCTACTGTACCTAAGAGAAGGCAGATGGTGGTCTTTTTTTTTGTTTGTATTTTAACATTTTCAAAATCTTGTAAGTAGTTACTTGCTCAGAGTGAACAGAAAAGGAAGAAGGAATAGTGGTAAAGGATGCCACCCTCAACGTCATTTTGGAGAATGAAAGCAAGCCCTTTAAGCAACATCCTAGAAAATTTTAAGGCTTCTAGTCAAATTAGGTGAATTGACTTTTTTTTTTATTCTTTTCTCTTCTCTCTGAAGCCCAGTTAAAATGTCAGTTAGGGAATACAAAAGATGTACATCCACAGAGACAAAGGACAATGGAGACAAAGCAACAGTGATGTAAACAAGAGGTATAAGCAGACCATTTTTTGGAAACTATAAAGCTGAGAGGTATGAGAGCACACTTGGCAGTATGGAGGGCATTGCAACGTCAGTGTCTGCAGATCATCTGAGTGAGGAGTGAGCCAGTACTCACTCTAGAGCCCCAGAGCTGGTCTGCTCAGAATCTGGAGGCAGGAGATTAACAGGGAAAGCAGTCTGAGACAAAGGGCTGAAGGAAGGGTGATGAATTCAAAATTGTTATATGGAACTGTAAGACTCCTAAGAGTCCTCCCCTATTTACAACTTGCTTATACTCTCAAGGCAGGAGATTAGATGACTCTTTCTTGGGAAATGGAAGAATACCAACCAGAGAAGAGATTTGCAGACACTGATTCATATGGCCCCTAACAGTAAAATGAGCTTAGATTCAGCCATCCTACAGTCAACAAGACTTGTACCCACACCTGAGAGTTTCCTGTCAGCATTTTATTACCTTATGCTTAAACATGAATGGATTGATGAGAATCAACAAATTTTTGAGCAAACCTCCATAAAAGAGACTGAATAATGAAGTAAAGAGAATAAAGGCATAGAGAAGAAATAAAGTATGTATAAAACAGAAGAATATCTTTAACAAAAATAATGTTCTTAGAGAAATGAAATAATAGTGCCTCCATAATTCAGAGAATATAGAATTAAAGCTGTGATTGCTTTAAAAACTAATCAAAGCACTAGAAGATAAAATTAAGGTGCTGTCTTATCTCATAAATCAGAACCAAAATTCAGATTGAAAATTAGAAAGGAATTATAGAAAAAAAAATCATCATGTAAGTTTCTTGAGGATAGAGATCTTGTCTATCTCATTTATCACTGTAAACTCAGCACCAAATATCTGGCACATAATGGGTACCCAGTAAATTTTTGTTGAATGAATGAATGGAGACTTTTAGGATATTCAACATCTAGCTAATAGAAAGCTAGAAAGAAAGAATGGAGATAACAGAGTTTAGGAAATTATCAAGGAACAAAATTTCTAAAAAAAACATTACAAGGCTGTTTTCTAGAGCTAGGCCTACTACATGTCCATTATGACTAATGAGATGGCAGGGAAGCTATTCAAAGCTGTATCATTGAGCAGTTTCTGAACATCCAGGAAGAGGATTCTGGAGAAAGAAAAGCAAGTGGTGTCCAAAAGTTTAGAAATTAGAATGGCATTGAACTCTTAACAGCATTGCTGAAATCTAGAAGATAATGAAGCAATGCCTTCATAATTTAGAAGAAAAAAGATTTTTAACATAATCCTATCAGAGTCAGACTATCAAGTATGAAGATAACACAGTTTTAGAAATGCAGTGTCTCAAAATATGGACTTCAAATGCATATTTTCTTAGGAATGTACCATAGGATATACCTCCCCAAACCTAAGGATTTGACCTCCAGAAAGAAGACATGGAGTTTGGGAAACAGATTATCTAACACAGATAAGGGAGTCCCAGGCAGGCCTAGGGAATAACACCCTAGATTGAAGCAAAGGAGAGAAGATTGCGATAAACACTTTTTCAATTACAAAATGAAAGTGATGCATTCTTTGGTTTCTTTGACCACATGTAGCAATCTTGAGATAAGCCATTTTGTCATATTGGAAGAATTAGCTAAAGGTGCTTGGAAAACTAAATGTGGAAAAGAAAGCAGTTATGCACTGCAGGGAAACAGAAGGCTGAACAAGAAAGGAAATATTTCCATGGTATCATTACAGTCATAATAATATAAGGTTCAAGGTAGGCAAAGGAGAAACTAGAAATGTAAGATGGAGATTTTGGAAGTAAGAGGCTGGGGATGGGCTGAGATAACCTCTTCACATAGCTCTGGTTGACTATTAAATGCATACAATAGGTGCCAGAGAGTTCAGTAAGAATTGAAAGCTTGGGGAGACTTGCACATTTCCCATGCCTTTGATTTCATTTCTCAATCCACACACAATTGGGGAGCAGAGGTGGGAGCCTTAATGACTTGAGGTATTTGAGCAAAACCTGCTGAGAGCTAAACTATGCAGGTATAGTGAATACTCTCTAGGGAGCCAGGCTAAGAAAAATAAAACTGAGCAGAAACATTAGCAGCTACATGCTGTGGGAAGACATTTCATAGTTTGAGTCCAAGCTAGTCAGTTGACTACAACCCTTGAAAGAACAAAACAAAATCCAGAATAGCAACATTATATTACATACAATGTCCTACTTCCATTTAGAAATTAAGAAACATGCAAAGAAACAGAAAAGAGTGATTGATACTCAGAGGAAAAAAAGGGGATTCAACAAACAGGTGCTGAGTAAGTGCAAATATTAGATTTAGTAGAGATGTTAAAGTGGCTATTATAAATATGGCTAAGAATTAAAAGGGAAAAAAACCATTGAGTGAACTAATAGCAAATCTCAACAGATTGGAAACTTCAGAACTATTAGTAATTATAGAGCTGAAAATTACCATAACTGGAGAATTCACTGGTCAGCTAAACTACATATTTGAGATGACAGAAGAAAAAGTAGCCATTGAATTTGAAGGTATGTTAATAGAAATTAACCAATGCAAAGAACAGAGAGAAAAAAATCTGAATCAAAATGGACAGGACTTCAGAGATCTGTGGGACAATATCACATGTTTCAGTTAATGTGTAAGTGGAATCTCAGAGGTAAAAAGAAAAAGAATCAGCAAAAAATATTTGTAGAAAACTGTGGCTGAAATCTTGGCAAATTTGGTGAAAAATACTAACTTTTAGATCTAATAATTGCAGTGAAAAGTAGGATAAACACGCAGCACTTTACCCAGGTACCTTGTAGTCAAATTGATAAAAGCCAAAGATGAAGGGAGAGTCTTGAAAATATAAGAGAAAAATGAAGCATCACATGCAGGGACTTCATGATACAATAAAAGGTGACTTTTTACAGAAACAGTGACAACCGGAAGACACTAAAATGAGATATTTAAAATGCTGGGGTTGGGAACGAAGTCAACTAACAATTCTATATCCAGCAAAACTGTCCTTCAGAAATGAAGGCAAAAAATGAGCATTTTCATGTAAATAGGTGGAAGTGATGCGTTACTAGCAGAGCTTCTCTTCAAAAAAAAAAAAAAAAAGCTAAAGAAAGTTCTTTAGGCTGGAGTGAAAGATACCAAATGGTAACTGGAATCCATAGGAAGGAACAAAGGTCAAGATAAATAGAAAATATGTTATAAAAGCCAAAAAAAAATATGTGGGTAAATTATCACAAAAGCAAACTCAGAAGTTAGCACAAAATTGAAGTCACCTTTTCCCTGCAATATGCCAATTCTCTAAAATTAGAACTTTTATTTTGATTGCTTTGAGAAGTAAGGACATGAATTAGACTACACCAAAAGGGTAGTAATTTTCTGCACAAAAATGTGAGAACCTAAAGAGCCATACCTTTGGTGTGAAGGTGAATCAGATGGAACAGCCCTGTGTAATTACAGACAGGTGTCAATCCTTTGGTACTTTAGTGAATTTCAAGTCTTGAACTTGGTTAATCTGCCTTGGACTAGCTATAACACCTGTGTGCCTGGCAAAGTCAAATGCAAATCACCTTTGGAGAAAAGTACCATCATTGTGAAACATATTATTACCACAAATAACTTACCAAGCACAGTGTTCCCCATACAACTAAAGATAAACTAGACTTCTATCAATAAGAACTAAGAAAAACAGCAAACAATAGAGATTTCTGTTATTGGAGTTATCATATGTAAACTGCAACAACCATGCTTTACTACATTGAACCATGTAAGAGACAGGATTGAAGATATCAAAAGGCAAAGGAAACAACAGGAAGCATATTTGGGAAAGATCTACATAAAACATACACCAAGAAGATCTAACATATGTTTTTTTTTTGAGGTTTTTTGTTTTTATTTCAATTCCAGTTAACATACACTAATATTAGTGTAATATTAGTTTCAGGTATATAGTTTAGTGATTCAGCACTTATATACAACACCTGGTGCTCATTATAACAGCTGCACTCCTTAATCTCCATCACCTATTTAACCCATCCCCTCACCTCACCTCCCCATCAGTTTGTTCTCTGTAGTTAAGAGTGTTTCTTAGTTTTCCTTTCTTTTTTCCCTTATGATATTTTTCTTTTCTTTTTTCTTTTTTCTCTCTTTCCTGTGAGAGAGTGGTAGAGAGAGGAAGAGGGAGAGAGAGAATCTTACCCCAGCCCCGAACCAGATTCAGAGCTTGATCTCACACCCTGAGATTATGATCTGAGCCAAAATCGAGAGTCTGATGCTTAACTGACTAGGCACCCAGGCGACCCCATTTGTTTTGTTTCTTAAATTCGCATATGAGTGATATCCTATGGTATTTGTCTTTGACATACTTCACTTAGCATAATACTCTCTAGCTCTATCCATGTTGTTGCAAATGGCAAGATTTCCTTTTCTATAGTTGAGTAATATTCCTTTGTGTGTGTGTGTGTGTGTGTGTGTGTGTGTGTGTACCATCATTCATCAGTCAATGGACATTTGGGCCCTTTTCATAACTTGGGTCTTGTTGTTAATACTGCTATAAACATCAGAGAGCATGTATCCATTGGAATTAGTATTTTTGTATTTTGGGGGTAAATACCTAGTAGTGCAATTGCTGAATCATAAAGTAGTTCTATTTTTAACTTTTTGAGGAACCTCCATACTCTAACATATTTTTAGTCACACTTCTAGAAGGAAAAGAAATATAAGGGAGCGTGGGCAATATTTGAAGAGATAATTGCTAAGAATTTTACAAAAGGGATAGAAAACAATAAGCTATGGATTGACTTCTCATTAAATGAGACCCAGGTAAGATAAATAAAAAAAAAAAAGTCTATAACTAGACAAACCAGAGTGATACTGCAAACAAACAAAAACCAGAAAATCTTAAAAGCAACTGAAGAAAAATGACAGATCACTTTCAAATGAGCAGAAATGATGGAAGTTTGAAGACAATGGAATGGTAGTGTCAATGTGCATAAAGGTTAAAAACTGTTAACCTAGGATTTATATGATATGAAAGAACCAACATATAGGTAAATATATTTTCTGATGAACAAAAATGAGAATTATTCATTTCTAGTGGTTTCATTTTTTAATTATAAGAAATTATACTTTGTAGAATAATAGAATTCTACCTGAAGAAGGTAGAAGAAAGTGATCTCAGATAGGAGGTCTAAGTTCAAGGATTGGTGAAGACAGTGGTAAGTAAGTGGGAGACATTAAGTGGATGCTAACTACATAAAGCAGTAATACCTTGTAGGATTGAAATTGTAGAATTAAATTATAGTGTAACAGCAGTGGGATAAAAGGGATCACTTCATGATGTTAAAAGGTTTAATTCTGTATCTAATCATGACTTCAAAATAGTAAAATGAAAATTGAATTTGAAGGATAGATAAATTCATCTTCATGGCTCAATTATGTAATACTCTGTTAAACTCATCAAATTTTTTTTTTTGCCTTTTTGTGTGTGTTATATTGAGCAATTGAAAACAGTTTCAGAAAATGTACTGAGAATAACTTTCCATCTTAAAACAACGAAAAATTGTTTGGCACACCACTTTTCATGACTGCATAGAATTCTCTTGCCTAAATGTATAATTGTTTAGGCCAACCATTCTCAATTGTTAGTTTGTTTTTAGTTAATATAAGCATCTTTATAGATAAATTTTTATGAATATTTCTTTTAGATAAATTCTTAAGTGTTTAATTATGGCATCAAATTTTATTTATTTATTTATTTTTAAAGATTTTATATATTTATTCATGAGAGGCACACAGAGAGAGAGGCAGAGACATAGGCAGAGAGAGAAGCAGGCTCTATGCAGAGAGCCCGATGTGGGACTCGGTCCTGAGAACCCAGGATCACGCCCTGGGCTGAAGGCAGACACTTAACCACTGAGCCACCCAGGCGTCCCTCAAAATATATTTAAGGTCTCCTTCAAGTGGCTTTCCAGAAATCTATTATTTGCACCTCTGACTGCAATATGTGAATAAGTGTACCCATTTCTCTATATCTTCATCATTGCTGTAGTTTGTCATTCAAATATATGTATTTGATGCCAATTACTAGTGAAAAGAAACATTTTCCATTGATTTTTTTAAAAATTCAGAATGGTTATGTTTATATTCATTTCTGTAAGATACTTAGTTTACTGTTTAATTTTTTCTGTAAACTAAGTAATCACATAACCAGATTCATTGGGAATTGTATATTCATAAACTCAGTGATTAATAAACTAATATTAATAAACTAGTATTCTGGGAAAGACTAATGTGGGGTTTATAGCATCTTTGCATGGGCTTTGGGACACTATGATTAAAAAGCCTTTTTTGAGGCACCTGGGTGGCTCAGTCAGTTAAGTGTCTGCCTTTGACTCAGGTCATGATCTCAGGGTCCTCGGATTGGAGTCTCATGTCAGGCTCCCCGCTCAGCAGGGTATCTACTTCTCCCTCTTCCTCTATCCCTCCCCTCAGCTTGTGCTTGCTTTCTCTCAAATAACTAAATAAATAATCTTTAAATAAAAATCCCTTTTCATTGACTCTTATGTTTGTGACTATGGAAATTGGGAAGTCAAATGAGTAGTTTCTATTCTATATAAGTGAGCTATGGCTGTGATGCAGCTGATTTTTCTAACCTTCCATATGTGTGAACAGAGTGTCATTGTACCAGATTCACTTGGGGCATGTCCAGATTCACTTGGGGCATGTCTTCTGAAAGAACATCAGGCCCTCTACAGTCTCCTGGTAGTCATCAGTGCTTTGTTGTCTTAAACTAAGTCATTTTGGAAAAATTTTTACTGAATGTGAATTTTACTAGTATACGTTTTAAATATTTAGTTCGAGATGTTATCATTGGGACCAACATGCTCACAAGAAAAATCTTAGTGGAATGTGGAGATTTTAAATTTTCTTATTTTTTTCTTCTAGAAACCACCAAGTTTTATATGACAGAGATAATTATTCAACCGTCTGAAAGAAATTTTCCCATCATACCAAGGTACAAATGGCAAATTAATTATACTGTGATTTCAAATGTGGAAAATGATAGGTACAATTGATTATTTGGGAATTCATTTTTATTCTTACCTGTCTTTATTTTAAATGGAAAAACAAAGCCCTTCAAAAAAGACTTTTAAACAATTGAACCAAACCACACATATAAAAGACTTGAGGATTCATTTATGGTTTGTTTGTTACATAGAGGTATAAACAAATGTGTTCATTATATATATCTTCTAATTGTGAAAGTTTTTTTTTTGTGTTTCTTTCTATATGCCAGGTATCCAAGGTTTTATAATTTAATCATCAGTAGGTTTTTGAATAATTATTTCTGGTTTTAATTTGACATATTTAAATTTTGAAACAGTTTTCAAATGACTCCAGTGTTTTAAAAAAATACGTATATATTACTTATCCACTAGATCCATTAACGTTTTCTTTCTCTGAATCTTTTTAGTTTGCAAACAGAAGTTAACTATAGTATGTCTTCCAGTTCATTTATGGATATCTAAAAATTATGGCAATCTGAATATAACCTTAAAATTTATCCTCCTGTAAATACTTTGATTCTGTAACTCAGCTCTGACTCTTAGAGGGGATACAAATGGAAAACATTGTATGTAATCCTGTCTAATGTTTGGTAGGAAATATCATGCCTTCCTTTTTAACTTCTTCACTGGTTAATGTGCTACAGCACAAATGGAATATTGACTTGACTAATACAGTATTTTTTATTCAGTCAAGGGGAATAGTTAGGTTGGGGTAGGAAGTGTGTTAAGGATCGGAGAATAGTTAATAAGAAGACTGGAGCAAACAAATACATTGAAATATATTAAAATCCACATTAGCACAGTCTGTGAAGGAATGAGCAGCGTACAGAAAAGTCTAGTTGCACATACCTCTACCTTTTAGGTACCCTGTGGATATTTTTGGCTCCTCTTGCCACTTAGAGTTATAATGAGAGGTACATTGTGAAAATTGATTTCTGTTCAAACAGGTCTCAGTTTGTACAGAGCATTATCGCCCAGTGTCTGGTGGAACTCTCCACTGCTAGAAGCACTTTTAGATTCACTGTTCAAGGTCATGATGGAAAAGTGTACATGTTGGTAAGAAATTATTTCAGCTTTCTGTAGCTTGGTAATCCAGGGCCTCAGAAATTTTTTAGTCTTGCCATTCTTTTTTCTTTAATTCTCAGGTCAGGAAAACAAATTAAAAATTGAATTCATAATATCAGTTTAATTCACAAATCAAATTCCCTTAATTTAATAACAAAAGATCAAGTGCCTCTATGTGGTAGGTATGAGGGATATGGAGAGAAATAAAACCTGATTCCTGCTCACACCGCAAAATAAAGTTTTTCACTCCAAGTTGTTAATGGCTTTTCTTGGTCATTATAACATAATTCGGTCTCTGTCACTTTTTTCCCCTCTATTGACTTTTCCCTGTTGATACTCTTCTGTTTAAAGAATACTCTTTAATACTCTTATGTATTCTCTTGCTCCTGTTTCTGTGTATGTGTGTATGCGGTAAGAACACTTAACATGAGATCTATCCTCTTCATCGGTTTTTAAGTACATGATAGCAGTATTGTTAATTACAGGCATGCACAGTATTATACGGGAGATCTCTAGAACTTACTCATCTTGCCTGTTTGAAACTCTATATACCTTTTAATGAGCAACTCCCCATTTCTCCCTCCTGTAGCCTCTGGCGACTACCATTCTACTCTCTGCTTCTATGAGTTGGACTGTTTTAGATTCCTTATGTAAGTGGAATCAGGAAGTACCATCCTTCTGTGTCTGGCTTATTTCACTTAGCATACTGTCCTTAAAGTTCATCTGTGTTGTTGCATATTACAAGTTTTCCTTCTTTTTTTTTTTAAGAATAATATTCCATTGTTTGGGTGCACCACATTTGTTTTATCCATTCATCTGTTGATGGGCATTTAGTTTGTTTCTGCATCTTGGCTATTATAAATAGTGTTTCAGTGAACATGGGGGTACAGATACCTCTTCGAGATCCTGATTTTAACACTTTGATGTTTGAGTAGTAAGAAGTCCTCCAGTTAGTGGAATCAACCCCTGCATGTCCCACGAGCACTGTTATTGTTTCTGTTAAAAAAAAAAAAAAAATGGTCTGCAGAAAAGAATTTGGGATGTTTACGTGAAAATCCAAGAATCAGGGCCTACATCTCTTCTTTTCCTCCATATATTGAACATATCTTATTCTATAGGTACTGTTCTTGGCTTTCAGGATAGGAAAAAAATATGCCATTAAGGAACTCACAAGCTAATAGGGAAACATGGTAGCTAGAAGGAGGGGGAGAGTTAAAAGTTGTTATTAAGTGTGGCTTTGTAGCTGGCCATCCATTATGGGGACCCCATGCTTTCTGATTCCAGATCATTTCTACCAAAGCTAACATACTTTTTGACTGAAGTGACTATGCCTCATAGTCATAATCTGAAATTAGTTTTAATTTTCTTTTACTATAAGGGTTTTCAAGTTAAACTTGGGAATAGGAAATACCTAAAAACCTAAAACCTGTCAATATATATTTAAATTCAAAAAAACTTCTTCATTATAAAACTAATACATTCTTAAAACATTCAGACAACATGAAGAATGTAAAAGAAGTGGTGGTATTCCCTCATCTTCTTTCCTTGTTTTGCTACATCATAGTATTTGAAGGTAGATGTTATTAACAATCTGGTATGTGCACTTCAACATTTTTTCCCTCCCTGTATGCAACTGTATGTTCACACACTCACGTTTGCTTCTCTGCTTGTGAAACATACCTGAATCACATGATGAGCATTTTTCTTCCTCGTGTTTACTTCACACAACTGTGTATGTCATAAAGATTGTTTCTTGTTAGTGTTAATATAAATAAGAGTCTTTAATGGCTAGAATTCCAGTGTGTGGTTGTTAAAGACAGTGCTGGGAATAAAAATAATCTTTGCATGTGTATTTTAGTACTTCTTTCTAATTTTAGACAGAATTTGTGTGTTTTAAACTGGTAATTATCACCCCCCCCCCAGAAAAGTTATACTAATTTATCCCATAGAGTGAGACATTCTTGATCTCCCACCCAGATCCTCCTTACTCAAGTTGGCACACCCGTGTCCCAGCTGTTGAGACGTGTGGGCTGCTACAGGCACACAGCTGCCTGTCTTCAGAGACATGCCCTTACATGACAGATGCCACCTTGTTCAGAAAGTTACCTCTTCCCCACTCTTGCCCTGGTCTGTCTGCTGCCTGTGATTTGACCCTGGGATAGAAAGCAGTGGCCTCCTGGCTCAAGGTGGGACAGACCTTGTAGGTGCGATTCTTGCTTCAGAGGTCCCCATGCGGTCAGGCTGAAGCCAGTCCTGCTGACCCCTCAATAAATAGTGTGCATCCAAATCTGGAAACACTCTTCCACTAGCAGTTCCAAACCCTCTACTGAACTGGATGTTACCATCTTTTTGTTATTGCTGATCTGATAAGTGAAAAAGGGTGGCATATGATTTTTACATTTTTTTATTACTAGTTATATTAACATTTTTATATGTTTATCACTTCTGTTAATTCTGTTCATATTCTTTGCCTTTATTTCTTTTGGGCTGTTTTGCCCCCGTATTGATTATTGGGAATTCTATAAATTACAGATAATAACTTTGTTATCTACATATTAAATATTTTCTCCTAGTTGTCTTTTTAACTTTATGATCTCAGCAGCTCTAGTAGATGTTACACTTTGAAAGACTTACCATACTTACAATTATATACTGGATTCTCCTATATTTTTTTCTGGTATTTTTATACTTTTGTTTGTATTTTGTTTTTTAGTGGTGGTATGAAATATGGATAGGGTGATGATAATATCCTTATGCTTGGACTTTTCTCTCCATATCTTTAGCTATGGATTTTAAACTCAGATAGTTTGGTGATTGAATCTTTGAGAAGTTCCAAAAGTATCAAAAAGTTCTCCTTATTGGAAGATATCTTGAAGGCAGATTCAGGTTCTGCCTGGAATGCTGTCAAGGTCCTCTACCAGCCATGCATCAAAAGCAGAAATGAAAAGTAAGTTGTTTTTGTTTTCTCATTCCACATTATATTTTAGTTTCTTTTGCCATTTAGTGTTGAGAAATTAATGAATTAAATGGTACCATACCACTTCCCTATTTGAAGTTTCTAGGAGTCATACTGCTAAATATTATGCTTTAAAGTAGATTGAATTATTACAGATGATTCATGATAATGTGCAGGAAGCTTCTTTTACTGAAAATAATTGGTCTTTTTCTTGTAATCTCAGCTGTCTATGCATATGGCTGCAGTACTAAATCAGGCATCAATAGCTATGAATATTTAGTGAGAAGCACTTTCCAGGCATTCAGGATGCAGTCATGAACTAAACACAGTCCTTTCTTCCTGAGCTTGTCATTGTAATAAGGGGAAGGCAGACCATCAACAAAAGAGGCATGGAGTAATGGTACTGATATGCCTCTCTTAAGAGCCAGGCACTCATCAGAGGGCTTCTGGCATATTTAAGCCTAACATCAACCTGCAGGATAGGTACTATTATCACCCCCATTTTAGAGATAGGAACACTAAGACACAGGTGTTGATTTACTCTAATGAAATATAAAGCATGGTAAAGTAGTTGGGGAGTAGTAGGATAGGTGGAGGAGGTTGTCATTTTACATTGAAAAGTCAAGGAAGTCTTACAAGATAAGATGGCATTTAAGTGGAAAACCTGAAGGAAGTCAAACAGTGACCCTTTTCTGAGAGAAAGTGTTCCTGACAGAGGGAACGGAACGGAAAGTTTATACTTGTCCTGTACTCTCCAATGACTTAGATCAAATTTGTACTAAGAACAGAAAGATCCCAGTCTTTTTCTAGGAAGTAAATAAGAAATTTTGAAAAATTGCTCATCTTTTCTTTTTTGGATTATATAAGTGCAAATTATAAAATATTTAAACAGACATACATAAACTAATATATGTAAGTTCTCCACCATGTCCCTCTCCAGAAGTAAAAAGGATGTTATATATTCTTCAACTTCTGTTTATTTTTATCTTTTTCTATTTATTTTTTATCAACATAAAATGAGTGATACATGTGTATTTTTTATACTTAAAAAAAAGGCAACACTGTACAGTCTTAGAGATTCTTTCCTTTTATTTTTTAAGATTTTATTTATTTAGTCATGAGAGACACACACACAGAGAGAGAGAGAGAGAGAGAGAGAGAGGCAGAGACAAAGGCAGAGGGGGAAAGCAGACTCAGTGAAGGGAGCCCGATGTGGGACTTGATTCCAGAACTCCAGGATCATGCCCTGGGCCGAAGGCAGGTGCCAAACTGCTGAGCCACCCAGAGATCCCCAAGATTCTTTCCATGTCAGTGCTTGGCATTTTATGAAATGGATTTACTACAAATAATTTAATTATTTTTCTGTTGATAGATACTTGGATTATTACTATTTTGCTGCTATAATTAGTGTTGTGCTGTGTGTTGTTACACAAATTTGTTTTGTAATTATTTGTACTTGTTTATGAAGGATTTCTAGAAGTGTTATTGCTGCAGCAAAGGTATGACATTAAATTTTTTTTACCCTTTTTATAAATTTATTTTTTAAAAGATTTTATTTATCGGGCAGCCTGGGTGGCTCAGCGGTTTAGCGCCGCCTTCAGCCCAGGGTGTGATCCTGGAGTCCCGGGATTGAGTCCCACATTGGGTTCCCTCCGTGGAGCCTGATTCTCCCTCTGCCTGTGTCTCTGCCTCTCTCTCTCTGTGTGTCTCTCATGAATAAATAAATACAATCTTAAAAAAAAAAAAAAGAACACAACATTTGTTAAATGAATGGTACATAGTTATCTGTTCATCATTATATTTGATAATTTGTGTTCATCTATTGATGACTGTAGATTCTTGTTACCATAGTCTGCCTTTATGGATTCATGAAAAAGAAAGAATATACTGGTTTGGATGTGTCAGTTTGTTTTTTGACAACTTTTGGGTGCTAAGGAAAAGGAATTGGTAGTAGATTCAGTTACAGTGGTGAACTTACATTCATTATCGTGAAGAATCTTTTACACTGCTTCTCTTGAGGAGTGTGACAAGAATTCAGTGCACTGTCTCATTATTTCACTCATTCCTAATCCCTGTGATACTGGAAATATAATAATATAGTCAGTTGCGTTTTGCTATATTTAATTAGTGGACTTTTTAAACTTTGATGTTTTGGGGACATAATAAATGAGTTTGATGATTTCAGCTTGCCTGTTGTATATAACTTCTTTTGTTGTGCTTTTTCTCCTACTACTGGTTCACTCTGTATCTCCTAAAGGTAGGAAGGGAACTTCATAAATTGGGTAAGCATCCTGCGAGTTACTTGCTTTTGTCTTTAGAGACATTGTCTTTTAAGGGACATTAGTTTCTTTCTTTGGAGGCATTACTGAGTAAACCATAGACACCCTGGCATATTTTTGGCATGTGAGGTGGTGCATTAACTATTATAGTCCAATTGGCTGCAAATTTATTTTTTATTATTTTTTTAGTGGAAATATGGATTGCCAGATGGCAGTCTAAAAGAGGAAAACAGCAAATGCAACTATGGTTTTAGTTCCTTGAGCACACACATAAAGTGGCAGGTAGTATATTTAGAATGTTCTTTCTTTCTAGCAATAGTCACACGTCTTGACATTTTGAAGTTTATTGTTTTTTATCCCCCTATCCCCTGTGCATAGTTATCCTACAACTTATGTTGTTGATTTCGCATATCAGAGTTTAGAGCCTAAATTTTAACTTTGTAGCTTTGGATCTGAAATTAACTTCTGCAGTTTAATTGTGCTAATTCATCGATTCATATATGTCTTTATATTCTCTAGACTGTAAGTAATTTTGCCTCTTAGGAGACATGTGGCAGTGTTTGGGTCATTTTTAGTTGTCACAACTTGAAGGGCTACTGTAATCTGATAGGTAAAGCCCAGGATGGCCTTAAACATCATACAATGCCTCAGAGAGCCTCTACAAGAATTATCCAGCCCCAAATGTCAGTAGTGCCAAACTTGAAAAACCCTGTCTTAGTCTATCTCCTGAAATCAGGCTGTGTCTGCCATTCCCTCTGGTGTCACAGCCCACAATTTTCTTGACATTTAATTAGGCCAAAAAATAAGAGATGTTTTACTGAGGCATGAGCTCAAACTTCTATAATCCCACGTGTTAACAACTTAGAGTAAACAGGATAAATACAAATATAATATAAATGTTTATTGTTATACTTCTCTCATTTTCTTTTAGAGAAACGTGAAAAAATAGATTTATTTGTAATAAACTATGATGAAGAATTTTATAGGTTTCAAGTCCTTTGTTCTTAAATATTTATGAGAATTTACAGGAATGCAATCAATCACTGAGTGTAAATCAGTGGGGTTTTTTTTAAAAAGCTAAATTGTTTGTTTCTTTGGTGTTGAGTTTAATAAGTTCTTTATAGATTTTGGAAACTAGCCCTTTATCTGATACGTTATTTGCAAATATCTTCTCCCATTCTGTAGGTTGTCTTTTAGTTTTGTTGACTGTATCCTTTGCTGTGCAAAAGCTTCTTATCTTGATGAAGTCCCAATAGTTCATTTTTGCTTTTGTTTCTTTTGCTTTCGTGGATGTATCTTGCAAGAAGTTACTGTGGCCAAGTTCAAAAAGGGTGTTGCCTGTGTTCTCTAGGATTTTGATGGAATCTTGTCTCACATTTAGATCTTTCATCCATTTTGAGTTTATCTCTGTGTATGGTGCAAGAGAGTGGTCTAGTTTCATTCTTCTGCATGTGGATGTCCAATTTTCCCAGCACCATTTATTGAAGAGACTGTCTTTCTTCCAGTGGATAGTCTTTCCTCCTTTATCAAATATTAGTTGACCATAAAGTTCAGGGTCCACTTCTGGGTTCTCTATTCTGTTCCATTGATCTATGTGTCTGTTTTTGTGCCAGTACCACACTGTCTTGATGACCACAGCTTTGTAGTACAACCTGAAATCTGGCATTGTGATGCCCCCAGCTATGGTTTTCTTTTTTAAAATTCCCCTGGCTATTTGGGGTCTTTTCTGATTCCACACAAATCTTAAAATAATTTGTTCTAACTCTCTGAAGAAAGTCCATGGTATTTTGATAGGGATTGCATTAAACGTGTAAATTGCCCTGGGTAACATTGACATTTTCACAATATTAATTCTGCCAATCCATGAGCATCCAATCATGAAATGGGCAAAAGACGTGAAGAGAAATCTCACAGAGGAAGACATAGACATGGCCAACATGCACATGAGAAAATGCTCTGCATCACTTGCCATTAGGGAAATACAAATCAAAACCACAATGAGATACCACCTCACACCAGTGAGAATGGGGAAAATTAACAAGGCAGGAAACCACAAATGTTGGAGAGGATGCGGAGAAAAGGGAACCCTCTTACACTGTTGGTGGGAATGTGAACTGATGTAGCCACTCTGGAAAACTGTGTGGAGGTTCCTCAAAGAGTTAAAAATAGACCTGCCCTACGACCCAGCAATTGCACTGTTAGGGATTTACCCCAAAGATTCAGATGCAATGAAACGCCGGGACACCTGCACCCCGATGTTTCTAGCAGCCATGTCCACAGTAGCCAAACTGTGGAAGGAGCCTTGGTGTCCATCGAAAGATGAATGGATAAAGAAGATATGGTTTATGTATACAATGGAATATTACTCAGCCATTAGAAACGACAAATACCCACCATTTGCTTCAACGTGGATGGAACTGGAGGGTATTATGCTGAGTGAAGTAAGTCAATTGGAGAAGGACAAACAGTGTATGTTCTCATTCATTTGGGGAATATGAATAATAGTGAAAGGGAATATAAGGGAAGGGAGAAGAAATGTGTGGGAAATACCAGAAAGGGAGACAGAACATAAAGACTTCTAACTCTGGGAAATGAACTAGGGGTGGTGGAAGGGGAGGAGGGCGGGGGGGTGGGGGTGAATGGGTGACAGGCACTGAGGGGGACACTTGACGGGATGAGCACTGGGTGTTATTCTGTATGTTGGTAAATTGA